CGGTCAAGCATGAAGTTAAAATGCACATTCTGCGAGATTATTGCACTTGGGGTGATATTTCTCTCACTCACAACAGGATATACTTCAGTGCGTTGTTTTACACGACAGAGGGAGAGCCAATTTCGCGCCAAAATGATTGAGAATGACTTCTGACGTGCTCCAACAAAATGCGCTAACATCCCTCGTTGTAGAATGTTTCTTGCTTGCCAGCAGCGAAAACGTGACGTTGTACGTAGTTTTTACCCAAATTGCAAGACTCGCTCAGTCTATGTACTGAATAAAATTGACAGAAAGAATTGCTACATCAAGACAAAATACAACTAACGTTATGTTATGGTTGTCGGGACAATGTCCTTGGTCGCTTCCCTCTGTGGACGTGGGGCCATCTGAAGAGCGATCTGACCTACCAACAAGTGGCTCCGTGAAAAATCAGTGGTGTCCTTGGCCGAGAAGAGGCTGGCCATGACACACCGAATGATTGCCGATGTGGAAGAAATTCCTCTGCAGTACTCTTCACTTGGTCGTGAGCATTCATTGTTCATTGCTGTCAAAATTCCAAATTTTTGGCCAATGAAAACGCAGCCCTCATCAGCCTGAAATGCTTATGGAATACTGTATACTTTCCAGCATAACCCAACGTCGAAATATCATTGCCTTCTACAAGTTTCAATATATTTCTCTAGTACTACAGGGGAAGGATTTCCGTCGTTCTCTGTATTCAAGAAAATGATTCGATTGGTTTTATAAAGTGCTTCTATTCATTTGATTGGTCAATTTCTTTTTCGTATTTTGTTCCGACGAAGATAATTCCCTTAAATAGGAATCGTCCCACACTATGTACAAAACGCCTTCCGTTCGCAACCTCACGAGCTTCAGCTAGCGCTCGTTAGAGCTGCAGGCTCTAATCTGGCCTTCCAGACGCAATGTTTCTGATGCAGGAGCACGTCTTTGTCTGCCCTCACCTGAATTTAAAGCGTAGCCTTTTCTGCTTCAGTCTGTCGTAAGTGTACGTCGAGTCAACTGTAGATGCCGATTTAAGGGAAATCCTATCCAAAGTGGCAGAAAGTTTGCGTTCAGTCAACTTGCTACTACGTTACTCCGACGGCACAACCTGGCGAGCATGGCAGCGCCGTCAGCTCCATGCGAACTGCTTGAGAAGCTCAGCACGTTGCTTCTTCGACTGACCCCTCCTTCGCGAACATGCGACTCGATCAAGGCCTTTGCCGCCCAGTTGGACCCAAACAGCGGGTTCATTCCACCAACGTGCGCATCAGGCGAAGTATGCAAGCAACTGACCGAAGTCCTGACTTCCCAAGGCGTAGTTGGGTGTGTGTTCAAGCCCAACGAGAGTTCTCGCGGATGCAATCTTGAACTCCTTACCTCGGAGTCTTCTAACAACTCGGTTACCATTGTCATCGCAGTTTGCTGCGTCCTCGTGGTCGTTGCTGTCGTTGCTGCAATCCTGATCGTGAAACGCAAGACCCGTCGCCGAAAACTCTCGCTCGCATCAACCCCCCGTCCTGATGATCTCCACGGTGTGTACGTGGCGGCTCCTGCTGACGCCAAGCCAACCCCACCGCAAGCACCTTTTCCGTATGGACGTCTGTCTTGCCCAACGTTCTCCGGCGAGCTCAACTTGTACGACTTGCAGTCGTTTTACCTTGAGTTTGAGCAAGTTGAGATTATCAAACCTCTGGCCCAAGGAGCGTTTGGCGAAGTCCTGCTCGGCCGGTACAAGGACCGACAGGTCGCCGTGAAAACGCTCAAGTTGGCGAACTCTGCGCAAGACGTGCAGTTTTTCATCTGGGAGATTTTGCTCCTGTCCAAGTACGTGCTCATGTGCTGCTAGGAGGACATTCGCCATGATGTTGTGTCGCATTTTTCGTCGGTGTTGCAGTTTTCGTCGGTGTTGCATGGCTTGGGGAGGAAAGAATCACTTTCGATCAATTCGCATTTCAATTGTATCACTTTAGGCGGCCGTTGCGATTTTTCCCATGGATTTTCCATTGCATTGGATAGATTTTGTATCACTTGAGATTTTGCATGCCGAATTTTGGTGGAGATATACCGTTGAAGCTGATCATGTGTGATGATGATGGATGCGCGTGCCATGGAATGAACTGTCCTTGCTCGCTGACGCAATGGATGCATAGGATTGAATGCCCGTACGTCGTTCAGTTTATTGGGGTGACGTGGAAGGAGTCGCCGTCTGGGATCATGCTCGTGACGGAATTCATGGACGGTGGCGACCTGCGAAGCGTATTGGACGCGAACGCAACGTCGCATCGTTTCTCGTGGCGCGACAAGCTCGAATGCGCGCTGCATGTGGCCGAAGGTCTTGTGTATTTGCATTCGTTGGACCCAAAAGTGATCCATCGCGATTTGAAGTCACGCAACGTCATGCTGGACTCGGTTGCGGGTGCCAAAATCACAGACTTTGGCGTGGCGAGAGAAACGAACGACGCAACGATGACGGTTGGCATTGGGACGTACCGATGGATGGCGCCAGAAGTGCTTGTGGACGGACACTACTCGGAGTCTGCCGATATCTTCAGCTTCGGGGTGATCTTGGCGGAACTCAGCACCGAGATTGTTCCGTACACCGATCTGTCGCTCACGGACGCTTCGATCATATCGAGGGTCATGACTGGAGATCTGCGGCCCACATTTCACGCGACGCAATCCCCTGCATGGTTTTTGGAGCTGGGAGCCAAGTGCCTGGCCTTTGATGCAAACGACCGGCCCGCCGCCGCCGCCGTCGCGTACGCTCTGCGCAAGGGCCTCAAGGACGCTCCAGAAAGTGGTCTTGTTTGACTACACTGTTCGGATAATTAGATTTTTGGATCAACTAATTCAGTTTATCCGGACCATCTGATGCCAGAACACAAACCACGACGGCGGTAGGACGATGGCAGCGTTCGACTGCGACGCGGCCTTCAGCTCGATCCGCACGAGTGCCAACTTTGAAGTCTATCAGCCCTGCGCGTACCTGAAGACGCTCTGGGACAAGAAGGTGAACTCGACGCAGATGCAACGAGAAGATTGCACCAACCCCGACTGCCAACAGTTCATCAATTCCCACGAAATTACGTTCGGTTTATCCAACACGGTTTGTTCCATCGTGGATGTCGCGACGGGGAAGTCGGTGGATATGCGAGCCTTTGGTTCGATGTGTGGAACCGTGCGGGCCACCGTGCGCCCCATGGCCACGTCAGGTCAAGCTGTTCCAGCGACATCGAGTTCACCCGTTGTTCCTGGTTCGACTGGCACTCCCACGTCCGTAGGATCGTCCTCTTCCACCGTTGTAGTCGTCGTTATTGTCGCAGGAGTCATCGTCGTACTCTTGGTTGGCGCGATGTTGTGGCGGCATCACAAGCGCTCTAGTCAGACCAAGCTAGACACAGGCGGGTTTGTCATGTTGGAGGAAGAGCCGAGCGCCGCCAACACTGCTGTTGATCACGCTTGCAGCGCCAAACAGATCAAAGCATCCACCATGGCATCATCGTCATCGTCGACTGCACACAGTACAACGTTGTTAAGTGAAGCAGGAGTTGAGTTCGGACCGTTGGCCCTATACCAAGTGCGTCGGATGGACCTCATCATCGACGGTTCTCTCCAGCATCGCGGGAGAACCTTTGACGTCCGCCGTGCCAACTACATGGGCAGGGCTGTTGCGCTGAAGACGTGCCGCGACATCCAGCACATCCATGCATTTGTAAGCGAGATGAAGCTGCTTTCCACGTACGTACCATGTCCATGTAGTTTGTACAGAGCGCTTTGTATGTCTAGCCTCGATTGCCCATACATTGTCCAGTTTGTGGGTGTGTGGTGGGGCAAGTTTGCGGCCGACTTGACGCTTGTCACCGAGTACATGGATGGTGGCAACTTGCAAGATGCGCTGCTCCGAGCAAGCAACCAGCAACTTCCACAGCAAAAACTGTCCTGGGGCACCAAGTTGTCGATCGCTCTCGATGTCGTCGACGCGCTGGTATACTTGCATTCACTCGAGACCAAAGTCCTCCATCGGAACCTGTCGTCGCACCACGTTCTGCTCAAATCCGGCGATGCACACCAGCCTCTTGTCGCCAAACTCCAGGGATTTTACCACGCCCGTGAAATCCAGTTTGACGGGATGACTGTCACCGCCGGCGTCGGCGCGCAGCTCTACACCGCTCCAGAGGTTCTCCAGGACGGCCACTACGACGATAGCGCCGACCTCTTTAGCTACGGGGTGCTCTTGTCCGAGCTCTGCACCGAGAAACCCCCTTATCACGACCTATGCACCCCCAGCGGAAAGCCGCTGTCGGAGGCGGCGCTCCTGTCTGGCATCATGGCCGGGTCGTTGCAGCCTGCCTTTGCACTCGACTGCCCGCCCTGGTTTGTCCAACTTGGTCGTGACTGCATGGCGGTGGACCCAGCCGTGCGGCCGTCTGCTGCCAAAGTTTCGTACAGACTAAACCAATGGATTGGTTAAGTCCACCAAGAGGAAACTGGACAGCGTCCTGTTCGCCCGATGTGTTTGTAGCTTTCACGTCCTGGGGGTGCGGTGACGTGCCGCCGCACGCGGCGCAACTCGTCGATCGCCAGGGCGACGACCCTTGCGCAACCAGACTGGCGGTAGAGAATTCGCGTGCTCGCGTACTACTTTCCACGCTGAAAGAGTTTACGCTTCCGCTGCGCGGGTAGTCCCAGTCGACAAGACGTCCGTGATTCGAAGAACGACAGTGGATTCGAACAGAATTAAATAGAAACTCAACGCAGCCATGGATCGCCTAGACGCTGACTGTGGCGTCGTCGGTGAGCATCGCCAGCGGTACGTCGCATGAGGAGTCGATGGGCAAGGTCCACCCAAACGTCAAGTGGCATGGCTTCGTGCACTCGTGCAGCATGCGGCCGATTTGATCCAGGGTCAAGTAGGTCACGTTGACATGGTTGATCGTCATAAGCTCATACTCGGTGGTCACGCCCGCGTGGTCGAGTACGCCGCCTTCAGGCACGTATATCACCATGACAGGCATCGGGTTGGGCTGAAACTCGAGCACTTGGGGGATGCCAGCTGCATGGCCCGTCTTGAGCACCACCATCATCTCGTTGAAATTGTCCATTCGCACCGGAGCACCGTTGATGGAATGGAGGACAAACTTGGGTCGAACACCCGACAATACGCGCTTGGATACGCGGCGTACGATAACCTTCTTCGAGTAAAACTCGGTCGCGAGCGTAATGTTCACGTCGTCGCCGTTAGTCCACGTGTGTTGGATCGCGGGGGGAGTCTTGACGAGCGTATGTCGGCCGAGCTTGAGGCCGACGCTCTCGCCGCACCAAATGTACTCGATGATGGCAGGGATGTCGTCGAGATAGTCGGAGATCGCGGTCGACTGGCTCGAGGGGCGCGGCGTCGCCATGGCCGTCGCAAATTCGACTGTGATCGAACTGTCTGCGCCAACTCGGTGCTGAAGGGGCGTATTTTTAATCACAGACTTCGTCAATTGTTCATACAAATCCCAAGTCAATCGGCGCCTGTCTGCACATTAAATTCGGTCGACGGATGAAAATATACATTTCCAGAGGTTCTGGCCCTTCCACGGACCAATCCGCGGCCTCGATTCGTGATGGATGTCATCGACACCGGTCCAATTGAAATTCGTTTGAACCAAGGTTTGGCACATATGAAAATGGGCCATGGATAAATTGGTGAAAAAAATACACTCCTTCCAACGATTGTACGGGGTACAATCGTCCATATCGAATCGATTTATATATATATATCGTACAACTTGGACAGCGATGGAGTCGCCTTTTCTTTGGACATCATCTCGGGTTGCATGGCCCGAATCAGAATATGGTATATATCAATATATATCTATGATGTAAATTTCCTCTGTATAAACTATGGAATCAATATATTATTGACCAGGCGTGATCGACACCGCTCGTATCCGTACGGCGAAACCTCCAATATTTTATGTTGAAGTTTCCAAGCACCAGGGAAAGGACGTCGATGGGATGCGACAGTTGCTAGCAGCCACCCATTTCTTGCCGAGATTCGAGCATGTGTGGCTGTCCTGGATCGGGGCCAGGCCGCGCCGTTGCCCACATGAACGTGAAAATGCAATCATATTCACCGAGCTGGCACTCAATCTAATGTGGGGTCCCACATGTACGCCGTCGGGTCGGCATCGTCGAACGACTCGGCCGCTTCGTCTTGCACCTACATCATATCCATCGTGTAAACGGACCGTGGCAGCTACTGAATTGTACCTCGAGCCACTCCAATCCACGGCCATTTTCCAACAGAAGTTCCGTCATCCGCTCCAAGCTTCGTCCATGGGACCATTCGACATTCGTCTGGTCCGCCAGCTCGACCACGAGCGACCAAGGCTGCTTGGCCATGAGCCCCACAACGGATCCAGCACAAGGGCCCCACGTATCCAAGTGCGACACCAAGCACGCGTCGACTTGAGGGTGGCGTGTGCCCAGCAACAGCATGACCCCCACAATCTGTGTCAAGACATGAGGCAACTAGGCAAGTTTGACAAAGTACCTGGGCTTGCGCTTGGGCGCTTTTGAGGATTTCCATGTGCCTGGACATGGCGTCAAACCACTGCTCCATGCGCATGGGTTGCAGCGAGTCGCGGAGGCTTAAAAACCCATCCAAGACATACACGAGCCCCGACAGCGTCGTGCTATACGGGTTCAGGCCGCCGACGACGTCGCCAACGACGCTGATCACGGACATCGTGTACGCTTCCCAGTCGCGACTCCAGTGGACGAGGAGTCTGCTCAACGCTTTTGCGTGGTCGGCATGGTCAAACATTTTGACGTACAGGGGCTTGAGCAGCAGACACGACCGGGTGTCGATGTCCACGGCCGTGTGCACCTGGTCGTGGTACAGCAGCGCGACAATCGTCAACGGCAGGACGAGCGCCGACGGCGGCAGGACTTTAGGCAACCGCTTGCGAGAGTATGCCGTGTACTGTTTGCCCATGAGGGGACTCACGTCGCCCAAGTACATATCGAGCAAGTACATGCCGCACTTGCGGGACCGGAGCAGGTCGCGGAGTGTCGGATGGAGCTGGGCGAGGCCATGGAGCAGCGCCATCCACTCTTGCATGTGGCGCCAGTGGCCGACAACGTCATCCATCATGGCAAACATGTGCATCGTGTCGACAAGGCGTGCAAGGAGCGACGTGGACACGGCCGTGTCCGTGTTAGTGTCGCGGGCGACGAGGTCGGCGTCCAGTGCCGCGAGGTCGCGTTCCATGACGAGTTGACACAGGTGCAGAAGCAGCGCGGAAAAGTCGGCGCGAACGGGAGTTTTCGTGCAGTGGAGGAGCAGGTCAAGCAGCAGAGACACGTGCTGGACAAAGTGCCCCAGGACAGTCGTGGCAAACGTCGGGCACGTGATGTGTTTGATCAAGAGCGGCACGAGCGGGAGCGGCGACGCCGTGAATGCGCGTGCGTACAGAGGAATGCAGTGGACCGCCGAGTCGAGAAATGTCCAATGAAGCATGTCGGGATTCCACTCGCGCGTTGTCTCGACAGCAAGGTGCTCGAGCAGCGTGCACACGAACGAGAGAAATTCTTGTTCGTGCGCATAACACGCTTGGACAAACGCTTGATTTTCCACGGCCAGGTCGGCCATCACAGCCGACGGGACCGCGACCACCGGCACCGTCGAGTCGTCGCGCCGCTCGTAGACCAAAATGTAGGCGCTCTTGGTGTTCAGGTGGGTCGCCGATCCAAACTGGTCGGGGGTGCTGCGGTCGGCGCCGCCAAAGCACTCGGCTTCGAGGTGCTTGAGATCAAACGAGCTCACGTGCTCGTCGTTGAACTCGATCCATGCCCCGTTTGATCGATCTTGGACGAGCGAGTAGTAGTGGCCCGATTCGGTGCTGCCCATGTGGACGACACACCCGACCAAGTGGTACGTTGCGTCGCCGGGGGCGACCCGTCCGCCACCGTTCTCTTGGCTGCGTTGCAGCAGCCCCGCCTTGGTGTACGGAAACATGTCGAGTGTCAGTGGAAAGCTAAACTCGTCGTTGACTTTTTCACGCAAGAACGTGTCAAAGTTGAGGTCGAAGCGCTTGAGGTGCAGCAAGAGCGTGTGGGGCAGGCTGTCCATGCAGTCGCGCTTCATCGTGTCCTGCTTTGACCCGCACGCGTCGCAATTGACGCCGCTCAAGACCTCCCCTTCCGACCATTGCTTGAGCGACTGGACGAGCGAATCGTACCCTTTGACCTCGACGGTCATGCACACAAACGACGTGGCTGCAGTTTCGCGAATTGTGTGGCAGCCCCCTTGGCACACCAGTTGCGTGCACACGGTCCCGCCAAACAGTGGCGGGCACGCCGCCTTTTTCAAAAACTCGGACAACCCGTCGCAAAACTTGGTGAGAAACTCCTCGGCGTCTTGCTGGAGCATCACGTTCAACGGCCCACCGGCTTCGTCCGTGAGGCACGCAATCAAGTGCTTGGGGTCGACACTCTTTTGCTGGCTTTCCTGGAGATACGCAAAGACGCGCTGGATCTGCTTGAACACGGGCGGGTCGGAGTCGTGGACCGTCATGCCGAGCACGGCCGCGCGGATGCGGGGCGTCATCGCAAGCTGTTGAAGCGTCGAATTCAAGTAGCACGTGCACCCGAGATTGCGCAGGCCGACGTAGTTGCCCACAGGTTTCATCTGGGCATGCGGGTCCCAGCTCCACTCCCAGTCGTCAAAGAATCGCTTGCCCGTGGCATGCACGAGGCGCGGAAGCTGCTGCAACACAAACGCAAAGTTGCCGTTGGTCACGTCCGCCGTCAGCGACGGGTACGTGGCCAAGTCGACGAGGAGGCGAAACGCGCCTTGGCGACTTGTTGCGGACGTGCACCGAGGTTGCCACGATGCCGCCCCATGAACGCCCGGCGAAGAAGACGACGGCGGGTACGACATCAAGCAATGCGACCAAACTTGGATGAGCAGGTTCGGCTGGAACGTTTGGAGCTCGGGAAAGCCCGCAACAAGACAGCGCAACACAAACAAGAGGCCGAGGACAGGTTCTTGCACGTCGCTCGAAAAGAGGTGCGTGGACGAGTCCGTCAAGAATGACGACGAAGACTGCGGTCGCGTTTGGCTGAGCAAGTGCAGGTGCAAGTCCAAAAGCGTTTGCGGCGCCTCGTGGGCCTTGGACGTGAACAAAAACAAACCCAAGAGCGTATAGTACTGCAGCGGAAGGGGGCCGGTCAACGGCGACTCTGCCAGCGCCAAGAGCTGCTGCGCGACAGCGCCACATCGCACCGGATCGAGCTCCATCGAATCGTCGTCACGAAGCGTGAGCACGAGCAAAGCATGGGTGACAAGGTGACGAATGCGGCGACTCGAGCTCGTCAACATTCGCCGCACAACGTCCGCGGGGAGTGTGCGGAAGAGCGGCGAATACGACGCACAGATCAGGTACATGCGCAAACCCGCTTCGATCGTTGCTACCTCCGACAACATGTCTTCCTGAAGCGCGTCGAGGAGGAGATAGCTGCATGCCGCGTGGAGCGCGGGGTAATTCATGCTCTGGACGAGCGATTCCACATGGTCATGGACCGATTGCCTGGACATTTTGGCCTCGTCGTCGTCGGTGGCATCGTGAATGGCGGTGCTGGAAGCGCCACGGACAAATGGACTCGCTTTTGGGTCGCGATACGGACTCAGGACGAGCTCCAACACGAGCGGAATGTCCATATTGACATGTTCCGGGTCGAATTCGTGGGTTTTGGGCACGACAAAATCTTTGTATGTCGACGAGTGGCCCAAGAACGTGATGAGGAGGCGCAGACACACCATCGTGACTTCTTTGAGGAGGTACTTGACGAATTGCGACGGCTCCGCCGCGTCCATCGGCGACGAGTAGCGAAGGAGGAGGTCGACAATGCACGCTGGGCCGTCCGTCGTGATAAACGTCGTCAGCATCGCCGTGCCATCGTGATCGTTGATCAAGTTTTCCAGGACTTGGACGCGGTAGAGCAGCTGAGTTACCGACACACCGCCACCAGCAGTCGTATCGCCACGGTGCGACGACAACAGGGTCGTCCACGCGTCGGCATGCGTGCGAATCGCGTCGACCATCGAGTCTGGCGTTGGCAGTCGCATGAGGAGCTCCCACGCCTCCTTCGTGTCGTGTTCACGGATGAGCTGCATCAAGACGTCAACAAGTCGCGGCTCAAACACGACCGCCGGTCGATTCTCGGCCGTCACGAGCGGCGACAGCAGTACGTTTGGCCTGTACACAACGAGAACCGTGTCGCCGTCCTTGAACCCGGCTTCGACGAGGGTCGTGCATCGACTGAGTTCGTGGATTTCACTCCCCATGCGGAAGAAACGAAGGCCTTTCGTGGACAGCGGGACACTGTCGACCATGCGCGCCACAGCCACTTGCATCTCGAGCACTGTGTCATGCGCGTATACTTGCAGGGGCAGGCGCTGGCCACTGGTAGCAGTCAACTTGATGCTGTTGTTCACGGTCAAGTGGAGAGGCGCGCCGCGAGACGCCTTGCCGTGGGGAACCCATTGACCCGTTGCAAGCGCGGATGCAGACGCTTCGTCGGTTCCAATGATACTGGCCAAGACTGTGACGCACCGGCTGCGTGCGGTCGCGTCGGCCGACTCCAAGTAATCGAGGCCGTCGGCGAGCAAGTTGAGCGGCTCGAGGGTCGGGTCGAGTTTGAACGGGAGGAGGGTGACGAATTTCATCGTTTGGACAAACACAACGCTCGACGACCCACGCAACAGAATCGTCCACAGCGTCGGCATGCCAAGCAAGGGCAGCGCGTGAATCGTAAACTGGTTTTGCGTGTTGACGGTCGCGACGTTGTCGAGCGTGAGGAGCTGGCGGTGGTGGTTCACCAGGCGAAAGTAGCACAGAAAGCACTGTAGGCTCAGCGGAGTCAGCGCCGGGCTCGTCAAAAACGCGTCCGCGCCCAGCAGCATTTCAAACACAAACGTCACATTCTGCACGTCCCAGTGCAACGCATTGGTCGTGAGCCACTTGAAAAACATCGTGCGCTCCGTCGTCAGTGTCGCCTTGGCGTTGAGAGCGGTCCACATCAATTGGAGCTGGGCAAACGACCACGCGAGCGTCGGCTGGATGTTGAGCCAGAGCGAGAGAAATCCAAGTCGGGTTTTCACATGATCGACAAAGTCGACGTGGCTGCCGTGGGCCAGCAAGTCGGCGTTTACGGCCGCGAGAACGGCCGAGTCCGACGACGCATCCACGTGATACGGGATGCCGTGGAACGGGGCATACACCGTCTTGAACTGGACGAGGTCCTCCAGCACGAGTTGGAGCATCCCCTGGGCCTCCAACACGGCCGCAATCGTCGTTCGTTTTGTCGAGCTTGTCGAATCTTCAAACAGCTGCAACACGTACCCGACGATGCCAAACGCTTGCGGGACGTTCGAGTGGCTCCGGAGACTCTCGACCACGAGTTCGAGGAGGTACGATACACACCCCATCACGACCGGGTTCCACTGCCCTTCTTCCTCGTAGTCTTCGTCCACGTTGGCCTTGATCGCGTCTTGGAATTGCAACTTGGCATGGTCAAACAGCGCGCGCTTGCTCGGGTCGGACGTGTCCTGCATGGTGGACCAGAGGAGTTGCAGCGCCGTGTGGCGGCACGAGCAGCGGACAACGAACGGGTTGGGCGACGCAAAGAAGCCACTGCCCCCCGTCGCGACTTGCATGTCGTCATCGTCGTCATCGACGCTGTCGAGGGGGGCATATTTTGCCAGCGCCCCCAGGAGCCCCAGCACGTGGATGCTTGTGACGCCAAAGTGGTTGGCAACCAAGTCCAAGAGCGCCGTGCACACCGGGACCGTCATGTACGATGCAAGCGACTCGAGAACGTAAAACAAACTCGCGCGCATGTCTGGGCCATTCGACAAAATCGCCTGCCAGATCACATGCAACGACGCCAAGTCGAACGCGTTGGCATCACACAGGAAGCGCAGGAGCTCGGACGACCGGCGAATCAATTGTTCGTGCGAGTCGCACAGGATATGGAGCACGCGGTGATGCGCGCACCACGCGGCAAAGTCGGCCTTGGTTGTCGACTCGGTGATGTTGACATGGATTACCGTCGTCGAACCAAACACAGGCGCGTGCTTGGGACCAAACGACTGGACAAACTTGACACCAAATGGATGAATCTAGCGGGCTGTGGTCGGCAGATGGATCGCCAGCCACGCGCTTACCTGGGCTTGGCGGATCATGGAGATAAAGTCCGTGAGGCACTTGAGGCCATGCAAGCGAATCTCCAACACCGAACTGTTCAAGCATTGCAAGCACACTTGCAAGAGCACCGCGTCCGCGATCTCGGACGCGTCGTGGCGAGAATGGAGCCGTCGATTCAAGTTCTTCACGGACACATACAGCGTGTCCAGCATGGGCTTGGTCACCGGTCGAAGCTCCTACACGACAGGTGAAGACAACGTACACGGCGCGCGACTCGAACCAGCAACGATCGTTGACCTACCAGGAAATTCATGTGCTTCTGGATCCAGGTATTGCACTGCGACACAATGGCAGTTGCCCACGGCCGAGTGAGCCACGGCACAACGTTCGCAACGAGCGAGAGGGACGTTGTGGCCACGGCAATCGACACGGTCGAAGACGACGCGTCGTTGGGGGACGTGCTGAGCATTGGCAGGATATGAAACCCACCGACACACCCAAACGCATTCACGAGGTCGATGAAGAAATGCGAAACAGGCACACGCGCTCGAGGGATTGCTAGCGGAATCGACGACGTCGACATGCCTGTCCAATGCACATACGCCGACGATGGATCGGCTTCGTCTGGAATAGTTTCGTCCAAATCAACACGAATCGGACCTTGGCCCCGACGTCCCCCAGCCATGCTCCCACGTCGTGCAATGTCCGAGCTGTCGAGGGAGATCCATCCGTCGCCGTCACTGTCATGTCCAAAAAAGCCCACATACACTCGGTTTTGGGCTGCTTCGTAGTTCATGATCACTGCTTCGTACCACGTGCGATGGTTCGGCCGGTATGCGTCGACAATCGTGCCAATAGCGCCTTCACTTGGCAACTCGAATAGAGTGGTGCTCGACGAATCGTCGTTGTCGATTTCGGAAATGGGCGATGCAGAAAGGCCATGGCATTGATAAAAGAGGTGACTCGGGTTCAAAATGTTGTGGATCGCGTCCAAGTACGTTGGAAAGAGTTCCGTCCCAGGCTGCATGCGCTGGACGACAAACCTGACGTACTCCTTGAGAAAGTGCAGGATCTGTGGCGGAATGTCGTGGTGGTCCGGGAACAAGTTGAAGCTGCGCCGCAACAAACCATTCGCAACACGGGGAAGGCATACCGCAAAGAGATGTGCGTCGTGCTTGGGTGTGCCTTGACCACGGTTTACCCAGTCGATCCACGTCCACAGTGTGTGCAAGCTCGGCAGCGGATCTGTCGTCGGGTCACCGAGTACATTCTCCAGGAGGTAGCAATTGCGCTGGAAGTCCGCGAACGAGTTCACGGGCTGCTGCTCTCCCCCACGGGGCACCACCACCGACTCGTTCATGGCCCGGCGGCGGATACGGCTTGCAAAGAACGTCTGCGGCAGAAACCGAGAGTGACAATCCCCCTTCGCTGTTATAATTCCAGTACTTGAGATTTGTAAACAACAATTTATTATAACAACGTGAATGTGGCCAATCCTGAACCAGAACAGCAATGTTTGAAATCCATTTTAAATGGATCCAGGAATGTTTCGAACGGATAAAAAACCAAGATATATATATTCTAAATGGATTTAAAATGAACTTGAAAGTGTTCCAAACAAGTGATAAAACACTTGTCGCGTGAGTGTGATGGATGTCGAGGCAGCGATTGCCGCCAAGGAAGGACAACTCAAGGATATTGAGCACGAAATTCAACTCTTGTTCATCAGGCAAGCTGAAGTAGAACGAGATCTGACCCTCCTTCGGAAGCAGCAAGCACTGGCGCGAGAAGTCGTCGTTCTGGATTCGGACGAGTCGGACGATGGCGAGGGTGCAACGCGGTCGACAGCGCACCCACCGCGTCGGTTCACCACAGCAGAGCTTGTGGATGCATTGCGAACACAGGTGACGACTGCCTTGCTGCATGACTCGACGGATCTAACCCCGTGGACGCTGTTCCAGTTCGAGCTCCCCTCGTTTCGACCTCTGCAAGAAGCGGTGGTCGAGTCTACCCTTGCCCAGAAGGATACGTTTGTGATCATGCGCAGCGGCGGCGGCAAAAGCTTGTGCTACCAGCTCCCGGCAATCCTTGAACGCGTACGATTCTTCCCTCATCACGTCAGTCATGAGCCGTCGTAGGACCTCGGATTTACCGTGGTAGTATCGCCATTGATATCCTTGATTCACGACCAGGTTCGACAAATCCACCTTCCATCGCGCTATTGCATTGCGACCGCGTGGAACCGTCGTTTACGCCTAGGTGATGCACTTCTGCAACCTCTTCGGTCCCGAGTCGGCCGTCGCGGTGACAGGGGACTCGTCACGACAGGAAGCCAGCGCCGTGTACGCCCGCATGGTCAATCCGTCGTCGCCGCCACTTCTGTTGCTCTTTGTCACACCCGAGAAGATATCCAACAGCAAGCTGCTCCTCTCTCGCTTCGACAAAGCGCACGCGGCATCGCGGCTCCAGCGGTTTGTCATTGACGAAGCGCATTGCTGTAGCCAGTGGGGCCACGACTTTCGACATGTGTCGCTTCTCCACCTTCACAGGCTTCTCGTCAAAGTGGTGTGTGCGATAGGACTACCACAAACTGGGCCTGCTCAAGCGGCAGTACCCGACCGTCCCCATTCTCGCGCTCACCGCCACGGCTACGCCTGCCGTCATCGACGACGTGAAATCGATCCTGGAAATGCCACACTGCACCTTCCTGCACTCGACCTTTCTCCGCCCCAACCTGGCGTACTCGATTGCTATCAAGCCCGACAAAGATGCCACAGCCATAGCCGCTATCGTCGACACTGTCCAGTCGTTTGACCCGACCTCGTCTTTGTGTCCGTCCGGCATCGTATACTGCATGACGCGCAAGGAGACCGAAACGGTGGCGGCAGCCCTTCAAGCGGCGGGGGTAAAAGCTGCATTCTATCACGCATGGGCGCCAGATCGCCACATCGTAACATTGTTGCCGGCTGAGTCAGTCGTGCTCAAGTTGGTTTTAGGTGCACACCGAGTGGGTGCAGGGCCAGATCCACGTCATGGTTGCCACGATAGCGTTTGGTCTTGGCATCAACAAGCCCGACGTCCGGTTCGTCATCCACGCAACCATGTCCAAGTCGTTGGAAGGGTACTACCAAGAATCTGGCCGTGCCGGCCGCGACGGTCTCCCTGCCCATTGTGTGCTCTTCTTCCGACCGCAGGATGTGCCGCGCGTCGCCGCCCTGGTCCACAGCGAGCGCGACGGGCTTCGAAACTTTGACGCGATGGTCGAGTACTGCCTGAATGAACAAAACAAGTGCCGCAACCAGTTGATGGCAGCCTACTTTGGAGAAACGATGGACACTCCGTGTCGGCATGCCTGTGACGTGTGCGAATCGATTCACACAGCGTCGGCAACGACGTTTGAAGGCACCGACACGATTCCAATCGGTTTGGCGACCACATATGGCCAACAAGTCCTGCAGTGGCTGGCTACACCGTACGTCCACCCCGCGATATCTCGACGCGGCCTGGCTACGAAATGCGCGAGTTCATCGCGCGTTGATACGTATGCCGCTGGCGTGGTCTCCCTCAACTCCTTGTACTGACGGCGGAGTGTTTTTGCAAGGGAGAAGCGATTTACACTGAAACAAGTAGTGGACGAAGCCGTGGCCAAGAAATCCAAGTGGGCATTTGGCCGCGATCCAAGCCTGGCGAGCCGACGACTCGCAGTCGAGCGATGGCTGCTGCGTTTAACGATGTTGTGCGTGCAAACAGCGACGTTTTCCAACATTTCACATGTGTCGATGGCGTAGCCATGTGTTGAAATGGGACTTTGCCATCACTCCATACGCCACGCACGCGTACTTGGCAGCCGACTACTTAGCCGCCAAGGTTCTCCGCGGCGATTACGCGTGTCCTTCAATTGTGTGGCTACCAGACGCTGCCATGGACGAGGCCGACCTCATCCATCACGTGGATCTCGTTCGCCACACGGTCAGCATTCAACTCAACGTGCTGCCCAGCCAAGTGTGGCAACGACCTGCCATGCATCGCTTTGTGCATTCCCACCCTTCTCTACCCTGGACAAGGCTCCAAATAGCCGAGTTCTTTGACAGCATCGACCACGACGCGCTGCATGATGTCGCCGTCGCAGCCCTGATGCGTGTCAAGGCCCCACAGATCGGTCTCGCTCAACCATGTACGTCATCCAAGACAAAGCGACCGCGGGTCCTCTGCGACGAGTAAACCAAAGTCCTGTCGGTTTGTGCATCGTCATTCGGCAAGGACGATGCTGCGAGTGATTGAAAAAATAGAGCAGAGGCAGCGGCTACCCCGTGGCCCTGTCGTCGTCCCAGCGTTCGACGCACGATTCGATCGATGGACGACCGTCGAGTCGTGGAGGTAGAGTTGCCAAGCGGCGTTGAAAAGCAATGGATTGCCCAAGTATGTTGGCGAAGTCGCGATCACCGTGCATGTCTCCGTGGCATCTAACGTTCTTACCAAAGTCGATTCTACGCGGGGGTCATTTTGTCGGATGCGGCGACGGCAGCGGCTTTCTTGCTCTCTGTTCGCTTCAACGTTGTGACTTCCTTGAGGATATCTTGGTCCAGGGTTTCGTCGCGGTGGGGGCTCAGCTCGCCCGTTGCTTCGAGCAAGTCGCGCTTTTGCTCCACCCACTTGACGAGCTCGTCGAGGGAGATCTTGCCGTCCTTGTCTTCGTCGATCTGGTCCACGATCCACTCGGCCGCTTCCTCCGTTTTGTTTTTGCGCAGAATCGTCATGACGGCCGTCTTGAACTCGGTCACGTCCACGACGCCGTCGCTGTCGCGATCCAAAATGTTGAGGCGGTCGCCGACGTCCTTGTCGACTTGCTCCAGTTCGACTTCGAGCTTGAGCAGCATCGAGTCGAGTTTCTTGAGCATGCGGTCCGCCGTCTTGTTTTCTTTCTCGGCGCCAATGCGGCCCGCCGCCAGCAGCCCCTGCACGTCCATCACGCTCTTGTCTAACTTCATCTTGGCCATCACTTGGCGCTCCTTCTCCACGATCGACTTGAACGCGAGCGTCTCCAATGCACTCACTTCTTCCAACGTTAGCTTGCGCTCGTCCTCCTGTCCAAATGGCGCGTGAATCGACTGCACCACAAGATCGGTGGCATTTTCACGCAAGGGAATCAAACACGCATACAAGCCACGGAAACAAACCACATGTGCATTCCAGGGGCAACAAGGGGTGCGCGACTCATGCACCCAGCACCCATGGATGCATCGTGGTGGTGGTTTAGCTGGTTGTTCCAAGGAGGTAATGCATTTGTACGTACAAAAACTTGCATCGGCACGGCCTCGACGACCGAAACGCGCTCGATGGGGGTGGCGGCGTCGGCCAAGGCAGCCTTCACTTCACTGACGCGGTCGCGGTCGGCGATGGTGGCTTCGACAAACTCTTCGATCTGCTGCTTCTCGAGCGCAACTTCGTCGTCGACCTGCTTCTTCTTCGCATCCACGTCCGATTTCTTCTTCATTTCTTCGCGCAGCTTTTCTTCGTCGGCAATCATTTCGTTCTGGTACCGAATCGATTCGAGTTGAAGCTCCTTGAGCTGCATCTTCTCGAGGGTGGAGTCGGCCGCCGCCGCCGTCTTGGCCGCCAGCGCCACTTCCGTCACAAGCTCCTCATCCATGCTCGACATGGACGCCGCCAATGCCGCCTCGGGGTTTTCCACCGACGTGATGTTCATGGCCCGCGACAAAATCAACAGCGACGCAGGCACGTTCTTATTGATGGACAGATCCAGCCACTACTCCGCATCGAGATACCACGCGCATGAGAAATGACAAGACCTCGAGAGTGGAGACCACCGATACCTGCTTCATTTGCTTCACATAGCCGGCTTTCGACAACCCCGTCGCCCGCATCCCGCGCTCCATGCATGCAATTTGCAGCTCTTCCTTGTCGAGCGAGTCCAGGCCTTCCCAGATGATTTGCTACCCAGTTTGGTCAATTCGCATGGTCCACACGGCCGTTGTCGAGCCATCAGCCGCCGCGCGCCCTCTCGACGCGACCTACCTGGTCATCCTTCTTGAGTGCAGCAATTTTCATGCGCAGTTGGAAGCGCAAAAAGTTGTCGTTCCCGTACGGGTTCACGCCCATGTACCGGCACATGCCGACCAACTGCGGGCGCGAAATGTTGTCCAGCGTGATCTCGTCGTTAAAGAGACCTGCTATCTTGAGCGTCTCCTCGCTCGTGAGCTGCTCCCCACGCTGCGCGCGTTCGACAAAGCTCATCACTTCTTTCGCCGTCGCACGCTTCTCCTCTGCGACACCTACAAAACGTGCGTCAGTCGGTGCACTTTACTGTCTTGAGTGGTCGACTGCTGGAAAAGTCCATCGAGACTCAAACTGGGCGCACACAGTCGCTTCGACGACGACGTGCCAACCCACCGGGCTGCCTGCACACGCGTCTAGGCCAACCCATTCACTCCAAGTCGAATGCTTGTCGAGGCAACCAAGCCCGTCCAAACAACTCTCGCACACGAAGCACGACTTGACCATCCCACCCACGTTGTCGCGGCTGCCGTCGTCGTACCTTCGCTTTCGTGGGTCGTCTGCACCACATCCTTGACCGTTTCCTGCAAAAACTCAGCAAGGGACACGCGGAGCTGGAGCTGGCGCTTCATGTCTTCTTCGCGTTGGAACGCGTGCTTGTACGTGGACGGGAGCATGTTTGGGAACAGTTTGAGGGCGAACGGAAGCGCGAGCTCCATGAACGGCACAATCACAAAGAACGCGAACGGAATCAAACGCAGGAGGTCGGCAACCGTGCGTTGGAGCTGCTTCTTCTCGCGACGCGTCAACGCGTTCCCTTTCAGGATGCGGCGCAAGATGCGCGTCGAAGTCGACAGCTCCGCGTACAAAAGCTTGGTGCCGACCCAGTAGTGCTTGAGTTCGTGGTTGATGGATTCCTTCACCTGCTTCAACCAAGCGCGGGCGCGTTCCGGCTCCTTGACGATGATGCGAACCCACTCCTTGACGGTGGCAGCGCCCGACACAACGAGCGACGGCGTCGACTTGATGAGCGCCAACGCCTTTGCACTCACCTTTTGGTCGAGGTTCTGCAAGTCCTTGACTTGGAACCCGCGCTCGCCGACTTTTTCGAGAGCCTTGTCCAACCGATCTTCGTGGGCCGCGACGCGCTGGGTCGACGACCGCCGGGCCAACACGCTGGACACTACAGCTTCCTTCTTTGACGCGTCCGTGCTCATCCAGCGCGCTTGCATCAAGCGTGGGTGGCGAGGGACATTTGTGAATCCGAGCGAGTGTGCAAACACCGCGTTCAACGTAGGCGGGACAAGCGGCTGCAACTTGAGCGGCTTCGACTCATCGCGTTGCGAGTCGGACGAGGACAGCGCCGTCGCGTGCATTCGGTAGAGATGGTCCCATGCAGCAACGTGTTGATGTCCGCGCGAGGCCGTCGCCACCGCTCGCCGCGGGGCCGTGTGGAGTGCTACCCGAAGCATCGAGATTCGGCCAATTCGGTGGTGATCGTGTTGTGGGTGTGCTCGGCGATCGTCACGCGAAATAATATTCAAACAATCTATCTCAATACATGCCATCAATCATTAAATATTCGGGTGAGTTCCGGATAATCACCTAATTATCCGGCTCACATGGAATGCTGGTGAAGTCGAATGATGGTCTCAAACCTGTCACTAACAGGGCGAGTAGTTTGCCCCCCATGCCACCAACAACTCCGCCAGAGTGCCGCCTCCCCGAGTTCGCAAGAGCAGCGCCTCATTCAATCGCTGAGGGGTAGATGCATGCACGATGCTTTGGGCCAAGTGCTTGCACAAGCATCCTCCATGTGTGACGATTCTGTGTGCATGCAGCATCGTCGGCGTTGACCACGTCTGAAGCATTACAACCAATGCATAATCGCACGATGGCGGTCGAGTACAGGTTCCAGTCGTGCACTTTAGCTGCTCTCGGTCAGCTGCTGCCATCCTCAAACCTCGTCAAACTTCCCTGGATCAAGACCGTGCTTCATCACCAACGCCCACCTCCTCTTCGCCACGATCATGGCGGCACTTACCGCCCTCCGTCTATCATGCTGAGGACTCTTCTGTGCGTTGTGTTTATCGGAGGTACACTGCCGATGGGTGCTCGTGAGTTGCTTGGAAGGAAAGGCTGGCGTGGAAACATTGACAACCTTATACATGTATGGATTCTTGTGACATGGTGGAAGCCTCCATGCCAAGTGTGCCATGCTTGATGGAATCATGGCCAAGTAGGTATGGACTGTTGGCATTCGAACGCGGGTAGATGTTTGGCTCTGCAGCTCACGCAACGACAGGTATGCGACTCACACTTGCAGCCGCAACTGCTTAACCAACCCTTCTAAGTGGCGCGTGGACCCATTGAGTCCGATCCCTTGGGACCACAAAGAGAGAATGGCCAGAAACCATCGCCAAACACGACATGCATGAACTATGACAGGAGCACGCAACTTGGCCATCTCGAATATAGGAGGAATTGGCTGGGCCACCGAAGCATCGGACATCTCAATGTGGATTCTAAACTCACACGACCGGACGGAGTGCCTTCCACATGCGGGCTACAAGGGCACGCTACCCAATTCCCCACGATGGTTGTGCAACGTGCGCTGGGGCAGCTCCTTGGCAGCTCGGCTCACGACCAGCTCGTACGTGCCCCCCCCACTTCCTCGGATAGCAGGATGTCCTGTTCACTGGTGTCACACAAAGGGTAAAAGGAACAGGTCTGGGCTGGTCATACTGTACGGCGGCGGTAAGAACTGCGATAGACCAGGTGCAAGAAGGCTGGCTTACGCGGCAGGCACAGTTCGGCCCATGGCGGAGGTTGGTATGCGGACGCCCTCAAACTCGTTGGCATCGCTTTCAAGCGATCGACCTTTTCGCACAGGCAAGCGATGCCGATTTCAAGTTGCCTCCAGCCAACTTACGTGCGAAACAACAACTTGTGCTATTTACAGGCATTGCGACGCGAACGGGTAAATCACATCCGAGCAGGGGAGCGGTGGTGTTGAAATTTTTAGTAATGCTAACGATTTTCGCGTCAAAGCCGTTGGCCTCATGGGCGTGCGGCCATTAAGGTATCTTCCGCCGTGCGAGGGAGCGCAAGGCGAAACTTTTGCAAATTGTGGACAAGGACGGCGCAGCTGTACTCCGCAATTCGTCGACGTTATCACTGGGCATCCCGCCCTTTCAAGGGAATATATACGTGGAGTCTCGCGATTATATTCGTCTTGGGAAAATCCATCTTGGCTCAATTGCGCCAACTCTTTCGCTGTCTCCCTTGGTCGGCATAGCAAGATCAAAGGAACCCCCCACAGCGCCCACGCTTGTGAAAGGTTGGAACGAGTAACTTCTGTCGACAAGCCTGCACAGGGTGGCATATCTTAGCCGCTGGATCGAATACGAGGTGCGGATATA